AAAAAAAAATCGAAGTAAAGGGGATATTAGAATGAAAAAGTGAAGGAGAAGAAAAAGAAATAGATGGGGGAGAGAAAAAGATGAAGTGGGAGGTGGGGGGATGATGTGGTRGTAATTGGGGGAGAGGARGGTTGGGGAAAGGTGGAGAGGGATCAAGAAGCAAGGAGAGAAGGAGGAAAGAAAAGAAGASATGAACTAACTAGAGTAAAAGAATKGGARGTGGGAGAAAAGGTGGGGCGGGAGAGGGTTATGAGTAAGAGGAGAGGGAGAGAGAGGTATGGAGAGTGGGTTAGTAGAGGAAGGGGGAGAGAGAGAAAAGATAACTGGCCCTYGGTGTCTCCAAGRKCACGGTACACCAAGACCAGGAGGGTCTTGGCCTTCACTGCAGCAGCCARMTRGAGGAGAGATGGGGCTGAGATCTTGATCAGCCCCCTGGAGCAGCAGTTCTGCAGATCCAGGGTCTGCTGTGTGASCAGACCCTCACCACCGTAGAGCAGCCCCTGAAACAGGGGGGTCTTCACACAGTGTCACATGACACTTTTGGAGATGGYCACGGGGAAAGGGAGGAGAGGGGCAAGGGAAGGGCAAAAACTCTTTTGCTCATAAYTTTTCACCCGCTAGGTGAAATTGTGCAAAAGAGGGCTCGTTGGAAAGCTTSTCAAAAGGCGCTTYCAACGACATATTGCGCGGCATGAGCCGCGGCCTGTAGTAAAAACGTTTGTTGAAAAACGAGCGCGGGCGATTTTGGAGCCTGAAAAAAATAAAAAAACAATCGCGATCTTTAAACTAACATAATTCCAAAACTACCACACCAAATTTCGCAATCTATGGCTCGTTGGAAGCGGCTCGTCAAGAGCTTTCCAAAAACATAAAGACCTGAAAACATGGACACCGGATGCAAAAGWTTTGAAGCAAAACGTGCACCAGTGTCATTACGCRGGTAGAAGTGGCGAGCGTTTTGCTCAAGCCACGTGGCAAGKGATGGAGGGGGAGGGTGGGGAAAGGGAGCAGGGAGAAACGCCTGCTCAGATACCAATGTAGCGGACATACCGGGAAGGTGCTCCGCCTGRGATAGTGATGGAGATGGAGGATGAGGGACGACCTAACTTGTGGCGGTCGTCGTGCTAGGGGCGTGGACGGTCACCAAGATGGCCGGGTCGGGGGCGGCAGAGGAGGAAACTCCACCGTGACCACCCTGTGGGAGGACGGGGGACACGGACTGAGAGCCAAGAGAAGAGATAGGGTAAGGAGAGAAAGGACGACCAGCGTCCTCGAGTTGCCGCACGCCGGCGGCAAGGGTCACCACCTGCGCCTGTAAGGGCGCAAGGGTCGCGAGTKGCGCCTGTATGGGCGTAAGGAGGGAGGTGACGAGGTTGTGCAGATCCCCTGGGGCTGATGGCCTTGGTCCACCGGCACGGGTGTGGAGCCCGATGCCGTGGCTATCGCCGTGTCGGYGGCGTGTGACACACCGTCGGCCATGGGGACATGACGGACCGGACTCGAGGGGGCCAGAAGAGGTCTGCGTGAGCGGAGGGCGGAGGGGGAAGTTCGCGGTAGAAAGCGGCGAACGGTGCTAGCAAGGCTAGCGAGGGCGCCGTCAAAGGGGGAGGGGTGGTTCGGGTGMAGGGTGCCCGAAGAGGACGRGGAAGTAGGGGGGTTTTGAAGAACCCTAARCCCTACAAAAACCGTAAGAAAACCCTAAGCGAGGTTTAAGTGGTTAGGGTAGGGTACCGGTGACCTAATCAAGAAAGTAAAAGAGCAAGCATAGGGGGGGGAAGGCGGGAGAAAAATAAATAAACAGCGAGATTTCGAGAGAAAATAAAAATAAATAAGGAAATAAATGAATAATAAAAATAATTAAAGAAATAACTTCAAATAAGTAAAAAGATGTGAAGGAAAAACAATATTTCTTTTTCTGAAATTTTTCAGCAGCATTTCCCTACCCCGCACGGGGTCAAGAATGTGCC